AAAAACTCTTTAGAGAGGTATACCTTAAGTAGCGGCTATAGGCTTCCTACGTTCGGATTCTTTATAGGATAATAGCTCTCGAGAACGCATCTAGTTAAGTCGGCGTAACGCCTTCGTTAGGACTGTTAGTTATAATAACCTTAGTCGTTGCGTAAGGGCCTCTAGTATACTTAAGCCCGAAGGCGCTTAGTCTTAGTCTTTACTACTACTATACGACTATAGCCCTTTGCGTATTAAGACTGCTATTCGACTATAGTACGCCTCCCCTTCTAGTAAGCGTATTAAGACTATTATCCGACTGCAGTGCGCCTCCTCTTCTAGCAAGCGCATTAACATTGCTATACGACTGCAACGCGCTCGATAACCTTTTTTTTCGCAGTGTCTCTAACACTAAGGGCGCGGTTACACTCTATTGTTGTCTAGGTACTAATAAGTGTCGCTTTAGCGATCGCTGTCGTATTTCGCTTAATAAGTCCCTTCCTATACACCTCGCGTACTATAGTTAGTAATAGAATGCGTTAATTATTACGCATTACGCGTAGCATATAGGCTATGTGTAATACTAGTGTGCTTCGGAGTGTATACTTCTATAGCCGCTTAGTGCCGCTAGTTAATTAGATCCCCGGACGCTACTATTCGTTTTCTCTGCCTTATATAGTAACTAGTTATCGGAATGATCGTTCTAGGGAGAGTCTAAGCAATAGAGGGCGTTAACGTAAGAGGGCTATCGTAGCTTCTCGAAGAGTGCTTACGCTCGATATATATTATCGCCCTACGTATCTATCCTTGCCGTATATATTATAGTGCCTATAAGAGCATACGGTGCAATAAGTATAGTGCTAGTCTCGCTAGTCTCGCTAGTCTCGCTAGTCTCGCTAGTCTCGCTAGTCTCGCTAGTAACTTCTCGCTAGTAACTTCTCGCTAGTAACTTCTCGCTAGTCTCGCTAGTAACTTCTCGCTAGTATTAGTAACTTCTCGGGTTTCGGAGGCGGTTCTTAGTGCCTAAGGCGGCCGTCGTTATCGTGTTAGACACTTTTGTTAGCGCTATTTGCTAGAAATGCGCTTAATCGACGTATCTCGCTATATTAGTAATATGCTATTGTAAAAGTCGTAAAAGTCGTAAAAGTCGGGAAAGTCGGTATTATAAATGCGCGGAAGGAAGCAGCTGTAACGTTTAATCCTACCAATTAAGCGCTCTACTATACTAAATCCGGGGTCTTAGCGGGACTCGGTATCCTTATCGCTTCCTCGAATTTACGCTTCTCGCCTAGCTCTTATATACTATCGATATATACGACTATCGACACCTACGACTATCGATACCTACGACTATCTACAAACCCTCGTCGCAAAGAACACAATAGAAAAGCCTACTTAGCGAGCTTATAAGGACACGATAGAAGAGCCTACTTAGCGAGCTTACGAGGACATAATAGAAGAGCCTGCTTAGCGAGCTTACGAGGACATAATAGAAGAGCCTACTTAGCGAGCTTACGAGGACATAATAGAAGAGCCTGCTTAGCGAGCTTACGAGGACATAATAGAAGGGTAGTAAGGAAGGACCTTATTAAATGCCAATTCTAGCGCTAATTCTAGCGCTAGCTCTCGTAGAAGCAGCTCAACTAGGTATCCTATATTATATACCGGCTCTCGTAGAAGTAGCTAAACTAGGCTAGCTCTCGTAGAAGTAGCTAAACTAGGCTAGCTCTCGCAGAAGCAGCTAAACTAGGCATCCTATATTATATACCGGCTCTCGTAGAAGCAACTTAACTAGGCATCCTATATTACACACCGGCTCTCGTAGAAGCAACTTAACTAGGTATCCTATATTATACGCTAGCTCTTATAGAAGCAACGCGATCGAGCGTAGTATTACGGCTCACTTTTCCGGGGATAGGACAAGGACTTAGCGAGCTTATAAGGATATAATAGAAGGGTAGTAAGGAAGGACCTTATTAAATGCTAATTCTAGCGCTATTTCTAGCGCCATTTCTAGCGCTATTTCTAGCGCCATTTCTAGCGCTATTCTAGTGCTATTCTAGTGCTATTCTAGTGCTATTTCTAGTGCTATTTCTAGTGCCATTTCTAGTGCCATTTCTAGCGCTATTCTACCGCAATTTCTAGGGCTATTCTACCGCTAATTGTAGCATTAACGCCTGCTAGGAGAGCTACCTTAAGAGCCTATTATGCGTCGACCCGCTTCCGAGAGTCTACGCTTAGTACGCAATACGCGACCTCGCTCCTCGTTAGTACGAGAGACGGTACTAAGAATCCGCTTAGCTCGAGTATATACCTGTTTAGTAGTCGGATTAATCTGTAGAGGTAGCTGTCGCCGAGTACGTAGACTAAGACTACTAGATAAGCCTAGGCGCTCCTAGCCTCGAGTTCCTAATACCTAAGTATTACGGCTATAAAGGAGGTTAGCCTATACGCTAGCAGAGCCTACAATACCGCTTCTCAACTCATTTAGAGCAGTAGCGCGCTACTATAGAGTAAAGGGCATTATAGGTAGCAGTATAGTATCCGATAGACGTATATTTAGGGCGCTGCGAGCCGCTTCTCGAGTAGCCTCTTCCTCGGCCTTCTTCTATCTATCTTCCTCGGCCCTCTTCCTCGTATTATAAATAGTACGCTACTTAGTTAATACCTCTAGACTAAGGCTTTTTAGAGTATCGATTAGCTAAAAGGTAGCGAATAGTTGCTCGTACTACTAAAGCTTCTCGAACTAGTCTACAAATACTAGCGCCTTCTGCTTAAGGAGATCCTAATCGATAGTAACACTCTCGTTCTATTTATTAACTAAGTTAGCAGTAGTAAAGATATTAGCGATATTAGCTAGAATCGGATCCTCTATAACCTTAGTCGATAGAAGGTCGAATCGAATACGGCTTAACTAATCTAGATACTAAAGGGCAGGCCGCTTTAATATCCAATCCTTTAGTATACTAAATCTAATTGCTAGACGAGTGCCGGCTCTCGGAGCCTTGAATTTCGGGGGAGTAATACCCTCTAGAGGTATATCGATATAAAGAGCGTCTAGTTCTAGGTTACAGATATTATAGCAATCTTCTACTACTAGTGGTTGCTAGGTATATACTACCTTATCCTTACCGAGATAGCGAAGGACGACTTTGCGTAGACATATACCGTATTGTTCGCGTAGATAGTTATTCTAGAACTCCCGCTAAATCCGAGGAATCTTATCGCGAAGCTCTATCTCTTTCTTAGTCTAGTAGTTTCTATCGCTATTATTATTATTATTATTATTAGCGGCTTCTCGAGCACCTAGCGTATTAGCATCTTCTCCTAGAAGCTTAGACTAGCGGAGCCCTAATAGCCGGAATGCTCTATACGATCTACGTCGGCGAGGCTTAATTGCCGGGTAGTTAGATTCTAGCCGCGGCTACTTAAGACGATTATCGATGTAGTATAGTAGGAAGATAAAGGCTAAACTACGTAGAATAGTACGACCGGTACGGCTAAGACGTTAGATAACATCCTCGATGTCGCGCGTAAGAGTAAACCTAGTCTAGCAAACAAGCTTAATGTCTAGTACATTTAGGCTAATACTAAAAGCAGTAGTAGCAACTATAATCCGGTGTTCCGATAGCCTATCTAGATGCTCTGCAGTCTTATAGAAGCGGTTGTACCGGCGCTTCTAGTCTCGCTTAGCGATACTGCTAGTATAGAATGTTACTATAGTATATATATTAATACCTTTGTTATCCTATATATATCGTTTCTTCTAGTCCCTATACTTAGCAGTCGTTGCGACTAGCTAATACCGAATAACATTAGCTAGATCCTAGACATACTTACGACTATTAATAAACAAGAGGGCTTTCTTAATGTTTATCGGCGTAGCTTCCTTAGTCTCTAGGTCGAATGCACTATCGATAGCGAAATACAGGTACTCGTATAAGCGGAGCTAATTCTTTAGAATAGTACGTAGGATATACGTAGTATCTAGACGATCGACACTGCTACGAATGATCTTAGTCTAGAATAGCTAATTACTAACTAGACGAAATCTACTATATTTGAGTATAAAGTCCTCTATATCCTCGGACATTGTCGCAGAACAGCCGAGCTAAACTGTATTATTACGGAGCAACTTACGTAGAGCGAAGATCTATATATATTCCTTCCGAAAGTTACGCTACTTGTTAATAAGATAGACTTTATCGATTACTACGAGACCGATGCGGGCACGAACCTTAGGGTCCTATAGTAGCTTCCTAAAGGCTAGACTAGTACCGGTTTCTAGACTTAGGATAATATAATAATATCTACTATTAGTAATATAGTCGTATAGCTTAGGATAGAGGCTTATAGTTTCGGAGGTAATATTGACAGCGTTAACGATACTATCTCGCTCGATCGGCTAGCTATCTAACTAGCTATCTAACTAGCTATCTAACTAGCTATCTAACTAGCTATCTGACTATAGCTGTTAATACCGGTTCTCGACGACCTTAGCCTACTCCTCGCTAAGGCGATTTAGCGGTATAAACTAGAGGGTAATAAGGCTAGTCAAATACGTAAAGGCTATAAATACTAAGCTCTTGCCCTCGCCTGTCTTCGAGATCTATAGAACATCGCTACCGCCGAAGATTAGCGCGAAGACTAGATCGATCTAGACGTCCTTCGGCTAATATCCTTTTCCTAGATAAAGGCGATCTAATAGCTTAATAAGGCTAGCGGTAACGATATTACGGTAGATATTCTTAGCCTCTAGAGAAGCTACGGCATTATGCACGAGTTGCTTAACTTAGTCCTACGATAATAGGTTATCGGCGGCGTTAATACGATCGTAACGGATCTAGAACTATGCTTTATAATCTCGCTTGTTCTTAGGCTACTAGACCGGTAGCAAGTAACTGAAATCCGGGCGCTCTCGAGTTATAGCGGCGCGACCTAGAAGTGCTATTAGAAAGTGCTGCTCGGATTTATTCTACTATCTATTAGTCTTACGCTTCTTAGCCCTATCCTTCTTCTCCCTATTGCGCTACTTGCGAGTACCCCTCGGAGGTAGCGCTATTGTCTGTTTGTTAGTAGGTTAGTCGCGATAGGTTGTTCGCGATAGGTTAGTCGCGGTAGGTTAGTTGTAGTATACTATTAGTAGGCGACGGCGAGGTGCGACAGCGAGGTGCGATAAGGCAAACAGGTATCTAAAGGGCTCTCTAGACCCTTCGTTAGGCCTATTCGAGTCTAAGAACGTGTTAGATAAAGGAATCACTACGAGTAAAGGTATATATATACTAGTAGTATAGTATAGCCCTCGGTAGTAAGATAAAGGCAAAGGGTTAAGAATATAGGTATTCTAAGAGTCGGAGGTGCGAGCGGCGGTTAATCTAAGGGTCCGCTCGTGATTTACTTAGCGTTTCACATACCGTTTGTATATAAGTAATACAAAGGAGGGTAGAACAAACGCAGTTACCGGAAGACCTGTCTTAGAAGATCGTATCTATAGCTTCAATTTGACATTTTAACGTATACTTTGTATAGCTATTTTAAAAGATCGTATTATTGCGTAGAATAGCTTTTTTGGGTTTGTCTATCTAATGTATAGTTGTACTTCTATAAATTCGAATTCTCGTTTGTATACCGGACGGTTGTATAGGAGCCGTACGGTTTTCTTTTAGGCGCTTCGCTATAGGCTTAGTATAGACCGCTAAGCCAGATATATATTAGTATACTTGGCGGAGAGATAATGTAAGGACGTAGAGACAGAGTAGAAGGTAGAAGGTGGAAGGTAGAAGGTGGAAGGTAGAAGGTACTAAATTTGGGTAGAAGGTCCATGCAAGCCTACAAAGCGGGGCGCCTGAATGGAGGTAGGTTGGGCGAGGTGTTCTGCTGGGGTGCGATGGGATGAGAAGTCGAGACGCTTGGCTTCGCCGCTTTCGATGAGCCGATCCCGCTCAGCCTGATCCTCTGCGGCCTTAGTAGCCCGAGCCTCTAGAGAGGCCTGGTCCCGACGAGGACCGACAGTAGTGAATTCGCCTTCGTCCTCGACGTTGGCGGAAAGCCTGAGATAAGTACATCACAATGCATTTGGACGTCTTTTAAGAGTACGTTCACTCGAGCCTCGCGATGGTGCTTGGTGGGGTGCTTATGGAGAATGCCTGTGTTTGGTCGGAACGGCATTGTCGATGAAGTGCAATAATCGGATTGTGCAGTGTAGTTTCATGAGTAATGTGTATACAATGCATAGTAGCTGGAAGCCAAAGAGGTGAATGGAACGAGAAATGGAGGCGTAGGTATGGGGGAAGCTCTTGCCTTTTGACTGGCGTATGGGAACTAGGTGGATGTCTGTCTCAGACAGTGTCTTTGTGTCTGGCTAGGGCTGCGTGCAAACGCGGGACGATCTTTGTGAAAGTGCACATGCGTCCAGATCGTGGGCCTGGCGTTTTGGGATGCTGCAATTGGGGTGCGGACGTGACTGGGGGAGGCAAGAATCAGTAGGACATACATGGATATGATAACGCTCTCTTGAGCAATGTCGACGCTGTGGGCATGTCTAATCTCCTTCTTGACACCTTGCTTCACTGACGCACTTTGACTGAACGTCTCGTATCTGCTCATGACCTCAGCACTCTGCCTGCGCAATTCGACTTCGCGCCCGCCTCGTTCGGCCACCTCTTGGCAATACGCTTGTATGTCATCTCGTTGATCGGTCCCGCTTTCAGCTTGTTTCAAAGCTTCGACAGAATTGTAGGCAGCATTGAAAGAATGGTTCAGACCTTGTGCGGGCGGAAAATTTCGGCCACCTTCTCAGCCTTCGACTCGGTTTCGGCTTGTCGCTCTGCATTCGACAAGGCTGGATCGTTGTCTGAGCGGTCTGGCTCCGGCTTCCACCAGATCGAAGCTTCAAAAGTCCACGTTTCCGGCATCGCTGGAGCTGGCACGTCCTGCCAATTACCCAGACGCTGCAATGTGATTTATCTACAGAAGTATCACTGCAATTGACGTGCAACGTAGAGGCAGCAAAGGAAGATTAATCACGAACCAATCACCCGAGCTCGACTTGGTGCGATTTGGTGGGTGTACACTGGGTCGTTACTTGTGAGATTGGCAGTGTCGTGGAGAAGGTCCAGAACGAGAGTTTTCCTTCGCCAAATCTGACTCCATCGCCGAAGAATTTACCTTCCTACTTGATGTCGTCGTCCTCCGAGGTCGGAAATGGGAGCTGGGGTGATCATGCACTCAAGCAGACATTGGACAGGAGGCGTGAAGGTGGCGTTCGGGTGTCCTGTAGAATGTGGTGTAAGGTAGAAATGCCTCGAAGCGGAGACAGGCGACGTTGTGCACCCATCGAAGCATCAAGCATGGACCTGACTTCGTGTTGATGATGTCCACGAGGACAATGAGTTGATGGTGTTGTTTTGTGTGAAGGAAGGATGTCATGACACGCGTTCCATCGCCCTCGTCGCCTCGCGTAACGTGATTGCCTTCCGCATTTTTAGCGAGATATCAGCCAATCAAGGCCCACGCACCCCTGATCAACTCTTTGCCAGCTGTTGAGGCCGACGACTTCTCCTTTTTGGCATCTCAGCTTTTTTTCTACCATCAACAACACCGGCACACTCACAATGGCCGCGCAGAACGAAAGTCGCGAATCTCACGAGCTGGATCGCAAACTCGAAGGCGGTGAGGCCGAGCCGGCTCCTCCACCACGGAAGCCCGAGCCGTCGCTTAAGAACGACATCCATCCTGCCTTCTACATCGCGTAATCGCCCAACGAGAGCATCGCAGGATGGACAGCATGCACTGACGCGATATCAGGCTATGGATCAGCTTGAGCGCGAGCGTCATTCTGTTCAACAAATGGGTTCTGCACACAGCAAAGTTTGGTATGCATATCTGATCTTGGCATGGAATGGTGAGCAAAGAAAGGCTGACATGACCATCTAGAGTTCCGTAAGTCTCTACACGGCAGAATTCAGCATGCAAGTTGTGATGCCATTTTCACATGGAGTCGGATTGCACGACTCTGCAACTCCGCCTCTGTTTTCAGCATGCGCTCGTTCTTGGCAGATTCAATCTAACATCCGACAGCACTCTTTCTCACAACATGGCACATGTTCTTCTCAACTGCCTGCACCCAAGGCCTCGCACGATTCACCACAGTACTGGATTCTCGACACAAGGTTCCCATGAGCCGGGACACCTACATCCGAGCGATATTGCCTATCGGTCTTTTCTTCTCAGCAAGTTTGATCTGCGGCAACGTGGCCTACCTGTACCTCAGTGTCTCTTTCATTCAGATGCTTAAGGCATCGAACGCAGTTGTCACTTTGCTGGCTACTTTCATGTTCGGCATCACTCCTTTCGATTCAAAGAAGCTGGCGAACGTCTCTGGTATCGTTGTCGGTGTGATCATCGCCTCGTACGGAGAGATCCAGTTTGTCATGATCGGCTTTCTCAGTGAGTTGTGCTGCATTGGTGGATGAAATTGAGTACTAATCAAGTGCAGTCCAAATGGCCGGCATTGTCTTCGAGGCCGTTCGTCTGGTCATGGTCCAGCGCATCCTCAGCGCACCAGAGTTCAAGATGGACCCACTCGTCTCCCTTTACTACTATGCGCCAGCTTGCGCAGTCATCAACGGCGTTATCACGCTCTTCCTCGAAGTTCCAAAGATGCATATGAGCGACATCTACAACCTCGGAATCTTTGTTCTCCTCGCAAATGCAGCAGTAGCCTTTGCGCTGAACGTTTCCGTGGTGTTCTTGGTATCTACTACCTTTCGGGCTGAGGGTTTGCAAGCATACTGACAAAGATCACAGATTGGTAAGACCTCGGCGGTCGTACTTACTCTTTCTGGTGTGCTCAAGGATATCTTGCTCGTCATGGCATCCATGGTCATCTTTGGTGATCCAGTCTCTGGACTGCAGTTCTTCGGTTACTCGATTGCTTTAGCCGGTCTGGTTTACTACAAGCTCGGTGGCGAGGGAATCAAGAACTCGGTCCGCGACTCTCAGATCTACTACAACAACATGCGCCAGAACAATCCAGCTCGCGCCAGAGCCATCGTTATTGGAGCAGTCGTTGTGGCAATTACTCTCGTCCTGTTCATGGTATGGCCGACCGTCCCGACCGACTACAAGAAGTCCCCGTTCGGCTGAAAGACCGGCCAGGGATCCCAGAGTGTTTACGCATCTTGGAGGCGGCATCGGTATGCTGCTGACGGCTTTCGAGATCGTTGAATAACGATTACAAAATCCAGAGACTTTATCCAGTCTTGGAATGTACAGATAGAGGAAAGAGCCATCGCTCGGATGTCTCGCAACATATTTTTCGCGCAGCAGGCGGGCCGAGCAGCGTCATTACACCTTTGATAGCATTTCCCGGCATTGGATGGAATTGTGCAGATAGAATCTAATCATCACGAGAGTGTCTTCAGCAGAAGAGAACAGAGCGCCGCACCCGACGGCAGTGTCTTCACAGTCGTAGCAAAATTCAATTGATCCCGGTACGTCACTGTGCATACCGGCAGAGCGACCTCCACAACTTCATGTCTATCATAACCATTACTGAAGCGGTGATGTGGAATTAAAGTCATACTATTTCAACAACAAATCCTCAATCTCTCCAAACTCTTCCCTCCACCCACCAACCTCCTGTTCCCACCCCCTCCCTCCTCTGTCCCTCCACCACAATGCCAAAATCCATCTCCTTCGACATCCTCGGAACCTGCTTCGCCTTCGAATCCGCCATCCAAGCCATCCACACCCGTCTGGGCCCCAAACTCGCCCAAGTAAACGCATCCCCGAAATCCGTCTTTTTCGGCTGGTTTTTCGCCGCCCAGCGCGATTTCACCTACACATCCATGTCCGGCTCCTACACGCCCATCGCACAAATTCTGAAATCTACGTTCCGGCGCGCGTGCGCGGTGAATGACCTTCCACTTTCGGAGATTGGTGAGGGGGATGTGGAGGCTGTTATGGCGGAGATGAAGACATTGAAGCCCAGGGCTGGGTTGAAGGAGTGTTTTGACGGGTTGAGGGGTGCGGGGTGGGATGTTTTTGGGGTTACGAATGGGGGGAAGGAGATCAGTTTGGGGTATTTTGAGGGCGCGGGGATTTTTTTGGATGGGGGGCATTTGGTTTCTTGTGATGAGGTGGGGGTTGCGAAGCCTGATGGGAGGGTTTATGAGTTTGCGAAGAGGGTTTTGAGGAGTGCTGGACATGATGAGGAGGAGGAGGAGGAAGAGAGGTGGTTTGTTGCGGCTCATGCGTGGGATTTGATGGGTGCGAGGAAGGCGGGGTTTAGGACGGCGTTTTTGAGGTTCGAGGAGCATGATCCTTGTACGGATGTTTTTGGGGAGTTTGATCTTTATGTACAGGATATGGGGGAGTTGTTGGAGAAGATGAAGGAGTTGCCGTGAGTGGGAGCGTGCTGTTTGATGGATGTGTAGGGGAGTGGGGATTTTGTGGCAATGTGTAGAGAGCTTTGGGATCGCATGCAGTGCTTTCTTGTCAAATATGGCGAGCTACTCATGAGTCGAGATGCAAGGAGTAGGGGTGCCAGGTTGTTAATTGTTAGCAACGTTACTAACGTTGCTAACTATGTTAATAACGTTGCTCTTGTCCACTGAGTTGTTAGTAATATAAGGCTAACTAGGGCTAACTAGAGGTAGAAGGTAATACTATATTAAAGGCAATATAGCTATAGAATAAGACTACTTCTTGCTATAGATTGAGACTACTATATAGACTACTTCTTGCTATAGAATAGACCACTTCTTAAGCTTAATAATACGGCCGTTGTTAGAGCGCTTGTTGTCTAAGCGCTTCCGCACTAGTATAGTTACTATATGTCTCTAGCTATTGCTAGCCGTTATTAGTATTATTGTCTTATAAGAGCGACTAACTAAATAGCGTATAGCTAACTAGAGGGTCGTATTTAGTAGAAGCCTAGCTATCAACTAGCTTAAAGAATAGTAAGTACTATAGTAGTTAACTACTCGTTATCGCCTCGAAGAGCGCTTTATAATTAATAGGCTCGTCTTCGAAGTCGTTATCTTCTTAGTAGTAAGATAGACTATATAGATTAAATAGCTGTTTAAGGTTAGGTATATAGAGATAGCGAGGGTCGCTTAGTAGCAAGTAGTAGTTATTTATTATAGCTTCTTCGAAGGCAAGCAATGCGTCTAATTCCGCCTTTCTAATCTCTTTCTTAGTTGCTAACTATCGCTGCTATATCTCTCGTAACTTAGCTTATCGTTGCTATCTTACTATCTCTTCTACTAGTCGCCTACGCAAGGCGTAGCTATTTATATAGATATAGGTATAGTCGTCGGTGCGCGTAGCGGACAGCTTCGAGCGATAGTCGTTCTATATAAAATTCATAGCGCTAAAGGCTCGCTCGGAAGGCACTAAGTTAGTAGGTATTCTATATAGGCGGAGGGCGACTTCCGCTATAAGAGGCGCTTTACGAGTAAGGAAGTCCTAATAAGTAGTAATATTGCCGCGCTCTCGGTGCCGACTAAGCTCGTAGTAGTTGCTAATAGCGAAGAAGCGTTACATAGAGTCTCGGAATTCGATAAATTCGTCGTTAAATCGTAGATAGCGCTCGAATATAGAAGGATCGTAGTCTTCGTAGGTAAAATAGCGCTTAAAGAAGGTAATGCGGCATTCTTCTTCGCGGTTACTAAATTCTCGAGAAACTAATAGATTGTTAATATATAACGAGTACGCTGCCTAGTAGACGGGTTATGTTTACTTAATAAACCGGAGGTCGAAGAGCGATAATAGGTCCTTCTAGTAAGGTAGGCGCGCCTACTTAATCGAGCGACGTAGTTGCCGCTAGCGAGGCACTATATCGCTAACCTTAGAGGTATCGCTCTTACTAACTAGCCGTGCTTCGTTAATTAGCTAAAGGAGTATATAAAGGCTCTATAGGCGGCTCTAGAATAGAGGCGAGTTAATAGTCTTAAGGGCAGTAGAGGCGCCCTTTACGAGGCGACTATTCGAGCCTCGGAATAGCCTATAAGCTATAACCCTCGAGCAGTCTTAAAGGGTTGTTATTGCTACAAATAGGCTATGTATTATAGCATAGTATAACCCCTAGCGAGTAAGACAGGCGATAGCAAATACCCTTAAAATAGCCTCGTTGTCCTTAGTAAAGGCCTTTAGGATATTCTAAGCCTTCTTCGACCTCTTAAATAAGGCAAGCACGTATAAAGCCTCTCGGAGCGTATCGCTATAGAACGGCAGGTGCGAGTCCTTCTAATAGTTACCTTAGTCGCTAATATATAGCTATATGCTATACGAGTCGTAGAAGACGCAAATTATATACTTAGTAAGTAGATTCTCGGCGAGTCGGTCCTAGAGTGATCTTATTATCGCGTAGATATCGGTTTGCAGGCTATTCTATCGTTTAAGGTTACTATTAACAAAGGGCGCTACCTACTTAGTTACCTGCCGCGCGAGGGTAATAGCGTTAGCGTTAGAGTCCTTTATGTCTAGCAGGTTATAGAAGAACGAGCTAGATACTATATTAGCTAACAGGTTGCAGAAACGAGTACTACCGCGGCTCTTACTCTTATTAGCGCTAAAGTTAAAGTCTCGAAGCGTATTAAATACCGCCTTAACGTCCTTCTCGACCTCCGCTCGTACCGTATCGATACAATCTACTACCTTGTCGCGACTTAGAGGGTTATAATTGGTATCGAAGGTATAGAAGGCCTCGCGCCATTTAGGATAGAATCTCGCGTCTACGAGATTGAATAGCCTTCCGCTATACAATATCGCCCTCGCAATAGCTAAATTACGTACCTTCTTAGACTTAGCGATACTAAATAGCAGCGTGCGTTGCTTGCGCGGCGGCGCCTCTTTATCGTTAGAATAGTAAGCCCTCTTATAGTCTAAATACTTCTAATATTTCGCTAGGTGCGCCTTCTTCCGTAATAGGCTTCCCTCTACTATCGTTCCTTTCCCGCTATCGTACTAGATATACCTTACAAATTTACCTATATTAGCGGTATCGACTTAGGAGAAGTTGAGGTTAACTAGGTCCTTTAAACGAGGCATTTTGAAAAAGTCGGAATTATAAGATTCGTAGAATTGCTAGAAATGCGAAAATCGGAGGATTAAGTAGTCGAAATAGGTAGAAAAACAGCAGGCAATTCTCTCTTAACAATACCTCTCGAACTATCTAGTTTTAGGCTATTTGGACAATATTAGTAAACCTACTATTCTACTAACCCTAGTAGTATAGTTGCTAGGTAACCCTCTACTAAGTAGTCGCCTAAGCAACTACTACTCGGAAGAGCTATATAAGCAATCTCTGCACTAATCTATACTAAATTAAGCTTAGCTAAGTCGGAAGAGACGGATCTATAAAGGACATTAGCACCGAGATAGTTACGAAGGCACTATGCTATTGCTATAGGCTTAGTCTATTCTATACTATAAAGAGGTAAGGTCTATATAGACACCTAAGGTATAAATATTAATACTAACTAGTTATTAACGTTGTTTTGTTACTAACGTTGCTTTCTACCGATAAGTAGTTACTAACAGCACCCCTAGTAAGGAGTATTCAATTATATTCAAACGGAAGTATGTAATAGCAACTCGTAGCGAGACATAGAACAATTCGATTAAGACAATTCTAGCCTAGATAGCTAAGCGAACGAGCATTGCAGCTATGTCTCCTACTATATACCGAAGCTAGACTTAATCGTTATATAGGGATAAAATTTGTATCAAATTACTATAAGCTAGGGCGGCTAGCGCAGTTCGCATCGAGGAGTTCCTCCTACGGCTCTTTTAGGTAGGCAGAGACAGAGAACGATCTTGCTATTATAGATACACCTCTTTCTAGCGTTTCTAGCAAGCCCCTGTATTGCTCTTCTATATCCTTACGCCTTAGGGTTTGCCGACTACTCGGTATTATATAGAGAATCACGCTTAGCTTGTAACTGTCGTCGGGCCTGTTTATAATACCGTACTAGCGGCCGTGCGTTAGTTTCTAGCGGAGTAGACCGCGCCCTATCTCTCGGAGTCGGTAAGATCTTAGTATCCGCTCCGTAGTATACGTAACCGTAGAAAACGTGATTTCCGTGTCGTAGCGCGTCGCGGTTGCTAGGTCGACTAGTAGTAGTAGTAGTAGGTAGTAGTACGATTTCCGCTAGTATACTAAAGATCGATAGTAAGAGGTCGTACGGTCGCAATTTAATAGATTTCGTACTAATTTAATAGCTTTTAACGACCCCGTATCCTCTACTAATAGATACTAACTATATTACTAAAAATAAAGCTAAAGTTTGTTAGTAAAACAGCGATATAGCAAAATTCGAGGTATAGTTAGCGATTACTACTAATTTAATAGCGTTAATATATATTAGAGGGTAGCGGTATATAAGGCATGCTACTATAGACCTATATCGCGCTTAGAGGCGCGTATTGCTATCTATTTAGCGCTAGTAGTGTCGGTAGAGGCATATAGAAGCTATTAGTTACCTACGCGACCTACGCGACCTACGCGACCTATACGGAATTTAAAGGAAAACGCGACGAGGACGCGTAGATACCGCCTAGAACTACGAACGGCGCTTCTTTACTAAAATTTGGCTAAGCTAGCGCCGCTAGTATTCGCTTAGGTATATATTCTTATTCTATCTATTTCTCTACCTATTTCTTCGACCGCTTTAGCTTCTTACTTTTACTCGTAGTATCTACGCTCTTACCCTTCTGCTTCTTTAGTAGCGGCGCTATATCGTTAGTCGCTCTTAGAAGACAATAGCTCGATATAACGTCGCTTAGTAATAGCGCTTATAATAGCTTCGGCGGCGCTTTTATTAGTACGAGAATAGCGTCTAGATACGTGTTTTTAAAGTAAGTAAGAACGAGGTCGGTAAAGCCCTTCCTAATATTATCGCTAGACTTATAAAAGACTATTAGTATCTTCGATATTATAGCCTCGCGCTTCGCGTTAGTCTTATTAAGGCCTTCTTTGTCGTATAAGCGCTTAAGTTAGAAGATTAACTTATACGCGCTATAGAGCGTCTCGCGTATATTAGGTCGATAGATAGGCGTATAAGGCGCCTCGATAGCGTCCTCGTATTGCACCTCTATCGAGTTAGCGGCATCTTCTTCGTAGACCTCGAAGGCGCGTCTAGCAAACATATTTACCTATTATTACTAGTATTAATCTTTAATAATAACGCGTCTAAGTATAATATAGTAATACTAGAGGTCGGCGTAGAGTACGCGATATTAGTAGAAGAATTTATAGTCGTAGGTAAGCGCGCCTTCTTTACTCGCTAACTATAATAGCTTCGGGTCGTAGTATACGGACTCGTCGTTTACGAGATTAATCTAAGCGCTAATCTTGCGCTAAATAGGCTATAGTAGGCGTAGAAGCTAGGTACGGAGCTCT